GAAATACTTTCTCTGGGGACTTACTTCAGGAGGGCATAGTAAACCTTTTCCTACCCCATCACAACACTTAACTCTCACCAAAATCAGATCTAGAGGCATCTTTGGTTGGAGAGCTACAGGAAAAGAAACATGAGGAATTGAGGTGGGTGTTTTGGATGACATCCATAGTGGGATACTGTGGTTTCAGAGTGATGTTTTTGTCAGCTTTGCACCTGCCCTACCTAGGAAGCTGTGCAGACCAGCTTGATTAACATCAAGTGATTTTAATCAGGGCTAGAGAGGTCACCTCCCTGCCAAAAATCTGGGGTTTTATAACCCACCTATGCCATCACATCAACTAAATAAACTCTCCCTGCTCCTTCTGGAGTGGTGACAACATTTATTTGATCTGTTTGGCACCATAGATTAAATACAAAGCTGCACACTAAAAGGGAGAATTTTTTTTCAATTACATTTTAGGTGAGATGGAGCAAGAGTAAGAGAGAGAGAAAGAGCAAAGTCAAATAACCAAGGTGTTATGTTAGAAAAAAAGTCCTTTTCCTTGGCACAAAGTAATTGGAAGTAGAGCCAGGAAATTATGATTCTAATACCTACTCTGTCATCCGATTCCCTGTGTGGTCTTGGGCAAGTCCTTTAACCTGCCTGTCTAATTTCTTCAACCTGTAAAATGGGGACAACCAACCACAGAGGAGTTTGATGAGTACTAGCAGATGTTTTCACAGCACATTGAAAAAATGTGAGAATCCATGGACGTGCTATTATTACTCCCCAGGAGTACACCTGAATGAAGTTAATCTGAAATGAAAAAAATGTATATAAGATGCAAACAACACTCCCCTCTCTGTAATGGGCAATTATATTTTATTTATTTTTAATTGAGTTACAAAAATATCCTTACTAAGAATTCTTGCTCTAAAGCTGCTGAGAAACGTTTTATCATCAGACATTTCTGCTCTTCTGACTGGATCCCTAAGATTTGTGGTATGTTTCTGTTTCTTAACTACTGGAATATGACAGTAAGGATTAAGTTGCTGGAAAAAATACTAGAAAATTTGAAATTTCCTCAAAATTTGCTCATTTGGGATGAAATTCAATCCATCCCCTTCAAGGTAGATGTGACTGGAGGCTGTGTTCTGTCTCGTTGCATTTCTCTCTTCCTTCTACCAGTTTTGACAATAAAAGCCCCACTCCAGGGGCCTCACATAAAAAAAAAATGCAGGAAGGCTGTCCACATAGACAAATAGAAGATACAAGAAATTAAAATGGGGACTCAGCAGGAAAACATGATGAGAACCTTCCCAGCTTTGTGCCTTGAGTATTCAATAGCTTTCACTACAATGAAATGAGCCACAGAACAGAAAGTTTAAATAAAACAGTTTGATAAGTTGATGTCTGAAAATACTGTCCTTTGCTCCTAGTCAGTACCTTACTATGGGTCTGATTTGCAAAGATGCTGATCGCTTGCCAGTCTTTACAGAAATCCTCGGGAGCTGAAAGACACTGAGCAGGGTTAAAATGCAAGCTTCTTGCTTAGGTCTTTCAGATCAATGTGGAAATCCAACTTGTGGTGCCTCTGTTTGAAATTTCTGCCTTAAATTTGATTTCAAATGTCTGCTCTGCTAACCCTAGCCTTGCTACAAATCGGTGGATTTAGGGATTTCTTATTGGCTTGAGATGCACTGCAAAGTCCATTTCCAGCAGCTGAAGAAGGGATTAGGATTTCTTGCAGTGTGGATGGGGACTGGAAGGGATTAGGATTTCTTGCAGTGTGGATGTCAGGGTATGGCAGTGCAAATTCAGGCTAATGAAGCCTATCTTGTTCAAATTCCGAACATTTGCCATCCCCTGGAACAAGCATTGCTTTAGACGAGTTGTACAAGATGACAGAACAAAACTGGAACTTCACTGCCATTCTCAAACAAAGAGCACATTCATTAGGAAAACCACCTCCTCCAAAGCACTTACACTGGCATGTGTTTCCTACAGAGAGCAAGGGCTTCGAATCGTATCATATGTTACTCATTTACATATCACATTAAGTAGTGAAGACAGCAGAAATCTAATGTTACTTCCTAACCAGCTCAGGATCTCTCTGCAGCTTATTAGCCACTTCTTCCCTCAGAGGGCTTGTGCTGCACTGCATGGTTGCAGTTATGAAGTCACCAGTTGGTATAGAGTCATCTCTCCATCTCTTTACACCTAAATACCACTCTTTTTTTTTTTCTTTTTTTTTTTTTTAACCAACGGGTTATTCTATGAAAATCCAGCTAAGTGAGGAAGAAAGAAGTCTCAGTTTGGGAGAGGCATTCACATGGTGGGCCCATGTCCCAATCAGTGAGGACAGTGCCACCAAGCACCTGGGATGGTGCTGCTTTGTGTCCACGCCAATGGACCAGAGGTGGAAAGAGCTCAGAGCGAGATACAGTTCTGTGCTTTTGAGGTATATAACCCCTAAGCAAATGCATTTCACCACTTACCTTGCTAACACTCCCAGAGTTGTACCACCTTGACTACCTGAGTGTTGAAACCGTGGCCAATAAAGGAATTCACTGTCATTTAATAACAGCGGAGCAGCTCAAAGTGGCCACAGAAACCAGTAAGAAACTTTTAAGGAGAGAGGTCTTTCAAGGGAGCCCAGTGATTTATTTCCCCTAGGGGTCTCTGGGAAGAATTTAATTTCTTTGCCCAGTGGAAGACAGTTGTCATGAGCAATAGCTTAAACTTTCATGTGGCATGGTGTTGGTTTCATTTAAACCACTTAGCAGCCCTGCTTAAGGCATCTGCTTGTGTAACTGACCCTCCGCTGGTGCTCCCAGATCTCCAGAATTCTTATGCTGTTGTGCCAGCACACTGAATGGCTTCCCAGCTCCAGAAACTGTGTGTTCACAATGCCTGAAAGACAAGTCATTTCTGCAGCTTGCCAAGTAAACTAGATTAAAGATCATTGTATTCTCGTAGTGGTTTTAGGGTATACGTCAATAGCTTTTGTTCAGTGCCGTTTAGTTGTGCCATCATATACATGATTGATACGTTGGGAAGCAGCTCTGGGAGAGCTGAAGTTGGTCCACATTTTGGAAACGTTAAGATAGGTGATAACTCCTGTTAGACCTGACGGGTTTCCTTAGGTAAGTAATTTTTTGAGGCTCTGATGCTAAGCCACGACAAAGGGTGAGCCGATGAGTTCTCCTGGAGCTCCACATCACAAAACGGGTGGTGGCGTAGCCAGCTGCATTAGCAAGGAGTGACACACATAAGAATAAAATATCCTGGCAAAGATTTTTAGGGAAATTTACACAAACTGCCAAAATTAACCTTGAAGTCAGTGCTATTAGCCTCTTGCTTTATCAAGCAAATCATTAAAGAAAAAGGCTCTTTTTATATTACTTGGATGTCAGAAACCTTTTTTTTTCAAAAATAATTTGTTTTGTGTGTTGGGATTTTAACTGAAAACATTTTGCCTTGTAGTTTTTCCACTTAGCAAGTGGATTATTGCCACTTAAAACAGTAAGAGGCAAGTATTATCCCGTGTGTTACAGAAGGATCTGAAAAAAAATACAAAAGCAATAGAAATATGCCAACATTTGTTTACACATGTGTGCATATCAATGGTTTCCTGGTGTAGGCACATGAGAGGAGGGCTGGGAAGAAAGCGCCAGCATGATTGATTGCATTTTCCTGTTCATGGTCATCTGTCTATGTGACATACATACAACAGTACATATGGTTAGCGTAGCCCTCCTGACTCAGTGCGAGTATTTCACACATATCCACCTCAAAATCAAAGCTATAACTCCTTGCACTTGTTTATTTTGCTGGGCTAATATATAGGGAAAGGTGACCCAAAGAAAACAAAATGAATAATACCAGAGAATTCCATTTTCACTCAAAACTCAGCAAAGCCCAGACAACGTTTTCTGAGGCACAGGGCAGACAAGGGAGTACTGTGGCCACCAGACCCTTTTCCCATGAATGCTGCCATCTCCATCATCAATCCTTTCACTTCTTACCTATTTTTGGAAACTGTTCTCACACTAAATTTCCCAAAGTTGTTTCAACTGAGATAGGATGAATGAAAACTGAATTAGATCCAACATCTTATCCTTTATACTGGTAATATATTTGGAGAAAGGGCTATTTAAGCCTTTTGTCTTATACAGAATGAAGAACATTGCCCCTGCTACACAACCTGGCCATGAATAACCAGCCTTTCAAAGTTACTTTGTCCTCTTCCTCCAGCATTTTTCTCAGGTTTATATATCTTTTCCTGGTACTGCAGGAAGTATTGAAATCCCTTTGAGAGATGCTTTTTTGATAATATTTTTGCTCCAACACAGGGGAAAAAACCCAAACCAAACAACAACAAAACAAAACAGAAAAGGAAATGGAAAAGATTGATCTGGGAATTTTACCACTTAGTGTTTGGCTTTAGACGTAGAGTTCTTGTAATTTTCTGTGGTGTCTCTCGTCTTTCAGGGCTTTTATGTTTCTTGAAACACAGTGGCCTTGTTTTGGTACAGGAGCACTCAGACACATGGATGGTCATTGCATTATAAATTTCCATTGTTGATCTTACGTTTGCATCAGCTCATGGAGCTGGCATTTAGAGAGCCCCTCAGTCTCCCAGTGGATATTGTTCTGACTCTGGGTAACATGGCAATCCAGCAGTGTTAGATTTCACCAGGTATCAGAATATGGTCACTGTCTTCAAAATATACCTGTCTTTGTTTCCATCTTTGTAGTACATCTACCATAAAGCAGAGGACAGAGGATTTTTTACTCTGCATCCCCAGATGTTTATTTTGCCCAAATACAAGTGAAAAGGGGTTTTTTTCATATCTCTTTTTCCATTTTATTTAATTTTAATTTAGTTTAAATTAAGTTAATTTAAAATTAATTTAATAAAAATAATTTTATTTTTTTTATTAATTTTTGAAAAGCTCACTCAAAGCCTGTTATCAAGAAGTATGTTAGACCCAAAACATAGCTCTTGTTTCATATGCAGTATGAAGAATAATAACTATTTTAAGAATAAAACTGATACTTGAACAAAATTCTGTTATACAATACTCCCCTGTTGGGGAAAGAAAATAAGCCATAACCATGGCCTAGCCACTTACTTTTTCCATTTCTAGTCTCTTTCTGTCTTAAGGAACTTTGTCAACATTTTGCAGAGAGAACAAAGTGTCAGAGAAAGGACTAAGAGGAATTTGATGGCTATCTTTCCAGCCATTTGTTTTCTTGTCCAGTTATCTCCAGCCATTTGATTCAGCTCTGTCTGGCGGTCCAGTGCCTGCCACCCTGGACATATATTACTATTTTTGGTGTGTTCTCTTAAGAGTGACTCGTAGTTCCCAGATGCTCAGTATGATAATGGGGATCTGTCCTACATCTTCCTCAACATGCTCATGCTAGAACCTCACCAGACACATTTTACTGTGGCTTTTAGTTCATACATACCTTCACCGCAGATGTCTCCCACCCAAGTGCACCAGTAGCATTAGCTCTCCCAAACTTTGCAGGCTCTTGTCTCATCACCTCTAAAAAAGAGATGGAAGATAATTTTTGCAGCCTTTGCATCCCTTTCCTGTTCCCTTTGCCTTACAAACATAGTGGACATACTTGTAGCAAGCTAAGACTGCAAATTGGAAGAGAGTTTTAGGGACTATTTGAGGAGAGTGGAGGGTTTTTACTTCATGGCCATGGGAATATGCCACGTGGCTGATCACAACTAACCTGGTTTGATCAACAAGCTCTTAGCAAGCTGTTCACCAGGTCTCCAGACCAGGCGCTGCTTGCAGACAGTAAAATGGGATGGATTGAAGGGGATGGATTGTCAGCATCCATTTATTTTTTTCAGAAATGCCAAATGAAAGCACCTGTTTTCCTTCAAGATGCGTTTCCATACTTGGTGCACCTTCTACTAAGATATATGGCTGCAAAGAGTCTTCTTCCTCTGCGTGACCAGCAGAAGGGTTAGAAACCATTATTACCCTCTTACTAAAGCCTCATCTACCTCCTCGCAAGGGCACAGCAGCCTCTCAGCTGTGTGGTGCAGGGAACCCTATGCTCCTGCCACCACACCAGCCCATGGAGCAGCATCAAGCCAGGGGAAGCTCTCTCTCCCTCTTTCCCTGCAGATTTGTGGCAGGGGGATGCACTGCCCTCACACGCTTGGGGCATGGGTCTGCTCAAAAAGTGTGTGTCTATATCTCTGCAGAGCAGACAGGGTCTGCTTAGAGGCCTCGGCCTTTCAAGATAGTTTGATAGGAAAAAGGTCCTCAGATACCCCCCCTCCCCGAACTTGTCTTACACTAACCAAGGAAAACACAAGTAATTAAATTAAGGCACTTTGTTTTTACATCAGTACAATTTATAAAGATACCAGTGTGACAGTTTCTAGGCACGGATATAGCCTTCATATTTTTCCTGGATGTAGCACATTGTTTTCTCAGCCAGAAAGCTGTGCTAGGGAGACTCTTGGGCACAGAGCAACGCTCCAGGCCATCTTCCTTGGTAACAAGAAGGGATGGTTTCTGCCCTTAAATTGTGTTTCCAGCTAATTAAATTCAGCAAGAGTGCCTTCTTTAACCAAAGCCAGTCACATGGAAGTATTTGGAGTGGGGAACGCTGATACCTGATACAAAAGTTCACACCAGCTGTCATGCCTTTCAAAAATGATAAATCGTTCAATCAAGCCATAACCTGGACCATTCCATTTTGACAGAGTATTTCCTGCATCCAGAGTTCCTGTGGGTGTAACAGGGGACATTTTCAGTGCAGAGCCAGTTCTCTTTGGATGTGGGAGACTCTATGAGTGCAGTTACACGCTGATGCGATGTGATGAGATGCAGTTGAGAGCAAGATGTGTCTCTGTTGTCACTTGCAGATGACCACGACACTTGCAAGGCATTGCTGTGGGGGAAGAGTTCGCTGGCAATGGTCTCCATACATCCTACCTCCATACCATAAGGGGCTCTTCCTTTCCCACACTTTTCCCAGTGACACTGAGTGCTGTCTTACTCTGTCCCCTGTACTCTGCAGTGGCTTTTTTGCGTTTTTCCTGGAGAAGATATGGAAATGAAGAAGAAAAATCAAGCAATAGCATCCTAACCAGTGTCAAATCATACCCACAACTGCAGGAGTGGGAAGTCCATCAGGAGTTTGTAAGTGAAGGGCTGAGGCTTATGTACTGCACGCATAAAACCTGTACAAGGAGAAGCATCTTGAAGTTTCCTCTCCAGATCCTTGGTCCCCTAAAAGGAAGAAGATTTAAATTTTCTCTCTGGTAAACAATTCAGGATCTACACATAGCATTTCCGAGTTTCCTACACTCTGCGGGACAGCTATCGTACTGAGTTAGGTTCAGAGCAGCCAAGTTTGGGGCCAAAAATGGTGAAAACTAGAACAGAGTTCCCCAGCTTCCCAGTACCTTGGAAGAAGGTGGTTGCTGCTGGCTGAGTCGTTCGTCCTGTATCACAAGGAGATGATCCTGGGGACTGTGAAGCATCCTCTCCAGTGGCACATGTGGAAAGGCTGCTACAGTGGCCATGTGAAAATATCATCTCTGAGTCCAGGGAAGTATCCAGTGAAGCAGGAGGAGCAGCACTGCGCTGGCGCTGGGGGGCAACCCACGTGGCCTCAAAGCCCTGGAAGGAATTTCTCCTTCAGGATGACAATGTGTACTGTGAGTCAAGGCAACAAGAGGCAGGTGCCTCCAGAGGCTTCTCCTCCCCAGGGGAAGACAAATCTTTCTCCCAGGCATGCAGGGAATGAAGTGTCCTCTCACCCTCTGAAAAAGTATCCTCCATTTCAGTGAAAGACAGATGCTTGGGCATCCTCTGGTGCCTGCAGGCAGCTGCCAGCTGAAGTGCTGAGTGTGAGCATGGACCAGCAGCAGAAATGGCCCTGAACAAAGGCAGAATTATTGCTGATGTCATTTATAAATTACCATCTTTGATGTTTAACAAAACTAAACATGCTGTAAATTAAATTAATATTTGTTCATGGATTCATAAAATGCAATCATTGTCAATTAGGGATTATAGCAACAACCCACAGGGGGTGCAGAACAAATGGGATTTGGCTTTAGTTTATAATTTAGGGGCAGACTGCCATGCCCTTGTTCACAATGAAATAGTGACTAACTTCAAAAAGATAATGTGCTTTTATTACCACAAAGGGTCTTTGGAGTGGAGGTCTTGCAATCAGCCTGGCCTTGATATTTTCTGAAAATAGACTTATTTCATGTAGTCCTTGAAATATTGGCAACTAGGAAATTGTGCTTGATTTCTTTTGCTACAGAGTGATTTGGGCTGGTCAGGGTTAATGTTATTGGTTCCACTGGAACTGAGCCTCTGCCAAATGTCCTATCTATATGACCTTAAGAAAAAAAAAGGCAGCAAGGGTTATTTTGAGAAAACCAGCTTTGTCATAAAGTAAAACTGGACAAGCCCAATAAATGTATTTCACTTATTTTACAGCCTCCTACACTTGTCCATAAGAGCATCCTGTGATATACTTTTGCTGTGGAGTATGTTGTACAAAATCTAATCATTTCTGCTGAGTTGAAAAACTAATAAAAAAAATCAGAGTACGCATTTTAGGTGTAATGTTTTCTTAATCTTATAAAGTGACTTGGGCATATTGCTCATACAATTGTAGCCACTAAAAAACTAAGATCAGGCTGAAAAAACTAAGGACTAGAGGTGGAAAAGAGGACTGTCACAGTATTCTTTTTAGACTACTTTGTCTGTTCGTTATTGACCCACTGTAAGCCACTGGGTTACTTTTGGAAAAAAAAGAACCTCCAAACAGTGAAGTCCCAAAGACCTCAGATCAAATTTACATTGAGAAAAAGCAGAGCATTCGACTTTCCTTTTAGAGTTCAACATCACACACATGCAGTCATCCATCTGTTTCCTTAACTAGCTTTTAACTAGGAAAACAATAGCAGTGAAGTGAATTTTGTCAAAGACTACAGGAGGACAATGGAGCATTGTGTATCAAATGGTAAATATTTGCTGCAGTATTACAGTATACATTTAGGCTTACACGAGCAAAAGAGAACATTTGAGCAGTGACCAAGGCCCATGGTCTTGATGGGAAATACAATTTCATAGAATCATAGAATTCCCTAGGTTGGAAGGGACCTTTCAGATCACCGAGTCCAACCGTCAACCTAACACGGACAAAAAACATCAGTAAACCATATCTCTACGTCTACCTGTCTTTTAAATACTGCCAGGGATGGTGACTCAACCACTTCCCTGGGCAGCCCATTCCAATGCTTAATAACCCTTTCAGTGTAAAAGATTTTCCTAATAACCAGTCTAAACCTCCCCTGGTGCAACCTGAGGCCATTTCTTCTTTTCCTATCACCTGTTACTTGGGAGAAGAGACCGAGCCTCACCTCCTTTCAGGTAGTTGTAGAGAGCAATAATGTCTCCCCTCAGCCTCCTTTTCTCCAGGCTGAATAACCCCAGCTCCCTCAGCTGCTCCTCTCCAGACCCCTCACCAGCTTTGTTGCCCTTCTCTGGACCCACTCCAGCACCTCAATGTCTGTTTTTGTAGTGAGGGGCCCAAAACTGGACACAGAACTCAAGGTGGGGCCCCAACAGTGCCAAGTACAGGGGGACAATCACTGCCCTAGTCCTGCTGGCCACACTGTTCCTGATACAGGCCAGGATGCTGTTGACCTTCTTGGCCACCTGGGCACACTGCTGGCTCACATTCAGCCGGCTGTCAAACAACACCCCCAGGTCCTTTTCTGCCGGGCAGCTCTCCAGCCACTCTGCCCTAAGTCTGTAGTGCTGCCTGGGGCTGTTGTGTGAACTGGCTTGATATTTTGGCCATAGGCCAGAGAAGGCCAAAGAGCAACGCCAGAGGTTAAAAATTTCAACTTCTCTGAAAAAAAAAGCAACCTCTAGTGCTTTAAATGGGTGTCTAATACATGCACCTAACTTACGAGGCACCCAGCAATTTTAACGGCTGTGACCCTGAGCCTCCCTGGGACAGCGTGTTGTCTGCTCAAGCCATGAGTCCAGAGACATCAGCTTGGGAATAAATTTCACATTTTCCAGGATGATTGGGCTGGACTCATATTCAACAGACTCCAAGTTGAGGAAAAGGACATCAGGTATTTGAACCTCTGCAGACCTATTCATTGACTTTCACTGGAAACGCTTTTGAAAAATATTTCATGGCATGCTTTAAGAAAATACAAATTAGACATTTTATTGTGAAAACAGATTGCATTAGGAAAAGTAAGGTAGATAAAGCTCTTTATGCCTCTTGTGCTTTACATATAGGCACACAGGTTGGGCCTTTGGCTTGGGACTATTTTCTCCTCCCTACACATTCCCTCTAGTGACTGTGTTAATCCAGAGTTAGCGAAGAGTTATTGTCCATCTGAGTGGGTTGGAATGTCTTGCATTAAGACCCACATCTGAGAGCCTTATAAAAATGTCACATTGCGTACTCACCTAATATTTTGATCCTGAAAGGCTCCCATTTGTGGAACTTGAAATTCATTAAAAAGTCAATACATCCTCTTCATATCCCTAGTTGAGAAAAAGATATGTGAGGCACATTACGAGTTTTGGGGCTTTTTTTGCTTTTATTCAGTTTACTGGGATCATGAAAAAACACATCACTTTTACCCCACACATCACACCATCATATGATCATAAAAGTATTTGTTTGATCTTCTCTAATTGAGATAAAATTTTTAACAAGGAATTTGTACCTATGTAAAGATAAACCCTTTAGCTCTGCATTTAATTTTTCTCTGTGTTTTCAAAGAACTGAAGATGTGATTCATCTTTTTATGCTTCTTGCAGATAAATTGATACATGGTATTTTAGAACATTTCTTTTGTACTTACATTTTGGCACAAGTACATCATATTGTTACATTGTTCACAGCCTTTCTATTGTCATTGCCAACTTCTTTTGGGGAAAATCAAAGAAAAGCTGAGACAAGATATATCAAGCCACAGTCATTTGGCTGCCTAATATTTTATTGCTCCCTTCTTTCTTATTGGTTTCCAGTTCTCAGTGTTGTCATTTAGTTCTTCTAAATAAACCATTTTTCTTGCTAGTTTAGTAAATAATTTTACAAACAGAGCTGTTTGAGGACATGCATCATACTTTCCTTCATGTCACACAAGTTAAAACACTCTACAAAGCCATGGCATGGTTGACTAATGTTTGGAATATTTCCTTTTTACGATGGCATATTCTAAAAAGAAAAATGAGGTGACGTTCACTGAAATTTCTTAAAAATAATTTTTAAAAGGATATTCATAATGTAACCAGTTTGGGATTTTAGAACTTTGTTGAAGCCTCCTGCCTTTAGAGAGACTCAGAAGAAATGAATGCAGTTTTCTCCAAGTGGTCTTAGCTATATTTCTAATTCTATAATATTTACATAAAACTAATCAGATCATCAGGAAAGAAATTGCTTATTCACCCATATGTCCAGCCCACAGCCTTGTAGCCAGCTCTCTGTTCTCAGGATTTTCACATATTCAGTAAAGTCTTCAGTGAACTGGTTGTGCCTGCCTGACCTATTTCACAAGCATCAGCTAGAAAAATAGTCATTCATAAACGTTACTCTCTGCTACGGCTTGGCTTTTGTACCTTGTTTCACCATAACATCCAGCAGAGCATAACTTGTTTTCTAAGGAGCAATTAATTTCTGTCCATGCTCCCTATACTGAGTGGTCAAAACCCACTCAAACTTATTCTAAAGATACAAGGTCTGGGACTTCAGAGGAACAGAAAAATCCCTACAGTGAGGGGTATCTCTTTAGAAATTTAGGGTGAAGCTGCATGAGATGCAGTGAGACAACCTGGGAGCTCGTGGCAGCCCAAAGATTTTGCTTCCTCCTGCCACCTCCTTTGCACCCCTGTTTCACTGGGCACTCCCGTAGCAAAACAAGTTAGCTCAGCGATTTCTCTGCCTTAGGAAGGCTTTCTACCTCCAACTCCTCTGAGGCTCACAAAAGGTCCAGACACACAGGGTAATTCTGGGGCAGCAATCTATTGGAGAGTCAAAAGGCCTTTGCCATCAATCAATTGCTGTCACGGATCTGCTGGTTTGTGATTCTCAAAGAGGCAGGAGGGCACCATCGGGCACCTCCAATACCTCTTGATGGCAGTTGAACAGTGGGTGAAAGCTGGCTTCAGGTGTTAAATAATAAGACTAAATTGGGCACAATTCTGAAGATTTTATATGGGCAAAGCTCCCTTTTGAATTAAGCTGTTCATGCAGTCTACAAAAATAGTCCCCTAAGGACCTTATTAGGCACTATTCTTTTTTTTCATTTATTATAATACTCTCTTTTTTCAAGTTATTCTAATATTATTTTTCTTCAGTTATTCTCCCCTAGAGACTGAATGATACTGTTTGTTTAGTGCACATAAAATTGTATTTTTATTTCTATTTTGATTTTTTTTCTTTTTTCTTGCTCCTATTTCATTATATGCCTTTATTTAACTGCAGATTTAGTTCTACTCAGACTCAGCTAAGCTCTTTTTTTTTCTTAAATCATTATCTTACACTCTTGGCCCATCATGATTTCATCTACTGTCTTAGGAGTTGTTTCTCCTACATGCAGGGCTTCTCCATCTCCTACTACAGTGCTTCTCCATCCAGCAAAACAGGGTCCACAGTCACTAAAAGTTCCCTGGGGTTGGTGGAGATTTCAGTATCCCTCAGATGGCAAAAAGGTCCTGAACGGTCTCTGAAGGTTCACGCCACATTTCACCAAAACACTTTGTATGGGCCTAATCTCACCCACATTGGGGAGAGCACTTCAGCACACCCTTAGCCATGTGCTCAGTGCCATTAAAGTTAATGATGCTTAGGCAGATTTCAAAGTTAACAGTGTTAAGGGCCCCTCTGCAGTGCAGGTTTCCAATGGTTTGTCTGGAAGAAACTCCTCAATATATATCTGGATTGAACTGCAGGGTTTTTTCCCTGTGGCAAATCTGTTTACCATGAAAACATAAATGGGGAAGTGTAAACCTCTGTACCAAATACTGCTGGAAGAATGATTTATATGCAGTATTTAAAAATATTGTTGCAATATAATTGATTAGCATAAGCTCTCTGGGGAGACAGTGTGTTTTCCTTGGGTTTTGCACAGTGTCTGGCATACTATAGATGCCAGAGTTAACAAATAGTTATTATTAATAATAAAATACTTCTACTGACAAAGTAGACGCCAGTTCTTTGTATCAACCACATGTATCAGATAAATATAAACCTGCTCAAATTAGCCCTTTGTGAGTTAGTAATTCTTTTTTTAAGATGGGACCAGCTCTAAATTTTTATCTTTTTCCACCCCTTACTCTGTCTCCCTTCAGTTTAAAACCTCTTTTCACAGCCCAGAAGAGCTCTCTGCCTGAGTCAAATCAGGAGCATCAGCCACTCCTGTTTTGCTATAGGAATGATGTAAAACAAACCGAAGTGTCAGCAGAACACAACAAGCTGTTGACAATTAATGGCTCTACAGCACACATTTGACTTTTTTTCACAGCACAGTTCCTAGACCTTAATTCATTAGAGTCAGGAATATCTTGTTTCATGCCAACTGCTTTACTGCCCAACCATCAGCCATGCCAAAAGCTCCACCCTTGCGGAAACAGGTGACATCTGAAAGTGACAGAGGGTGTGAGCCCTCTGCCAAATTCAGGTGAAAAAGGTAAATTTTATGGAGTTGCATACTGCAGCAAAGCGTTGCACCAGGTCTTGCAAGCATGTGACTACTGGACAGCAAGGTATCAAAAGCTGATGCTGAAAATGCACTGTTATGAGGTTCGGGGTGGAAACATGAAATGAAAGCAAACTGACTTGCCATGAGAGGTAAACTTTATAACTTTTTGGTCTTCTGTTGCCAACTGACCTTAACGTGACCAACCTGCACAGGCTTCTGGGAAATGTCCATGTGAGGGAGCAATGCAGCAGCAGTGCAGCATGCGGCGAGGACACCTTGAGCATGATCTTGACTTGTCCCCCTGCTGTGCCACCTCAGGCAAGCTGTACCACGGCCTCACACCTCTGATAAAAAGACAATAAAAAAAAAAGAAAGTTACTGCATGCAGAGATAAAATGGAGATTTTTTAAAAAATATGTGTCCTGTGCCCGCAGCCCCAGCTGGGCTGTCTTTGCTCCCTTTCTGATTTTAGCACTTCCACAGTACATTGCGTGTTTTCAAGCTACTTTTTCCACAGCCACAGGGGCTAGAAACTTGCTCGAAAAAAAATAAAACACGAAAGCTAGGATTCCAACCTAATCAAGGCCCTCTGGAGGCTGAGACAATAAAAAAAGCAAGGGAAGTTATGAGAGCTGCTAATGCAGCCAGCATCGCAGTTGTGCCCCCACCACCTCTAGCTGCCTGAAGAGACAAGCGCTGAGTTCGTCAGGCACTCTGCCTTCTTCAGAGCCCAGAAACACTCACATGTTTTGAGGAAAACAGGATTATTTTGACAAGAGCTGCCAAAAACTAAAAGGTTCATACACGCTAGGAAGACTGACTCTTCTATTTACAATAAACCAGCCCAGCGGCTCCCAGCCCAGCTCCTAAGGGCTGTCCAGGGCAAAGGCTCAAAGAGGTTTTTTTGGAAGCCTCCATGTTCTCCGGCTGCCTCCAGGCAGCTGCCCTATATTTTCTTGACAGAACCTTCCCAGCTGAAGCAAATGTCCCTGGCCAGAAGTCAGGCACCCAGTGGTACCTCAGGGATCCACCACCAATGGTGCACACCCACCCACACCTTCCCCTCCACAACTCCTCCGGAAGCTCCCAGCCCCTCGCTTTTCTCCTCAAAATGGCATGTGGCTGCCCCACCCACACCACTGGCATTGCAAGAGGGAGAGGTTGCAGGAGAGAAATCCCTGCCTGTCCATAGCAGGGGTGGAAGCTGCGAGAAAGGGGCAGGACTCCTCCACAAGCGGACTTGGCCCATCACACTTTGCCTTCTGCTGTCTACACTGGCTTTAAAAGCCATTTCACAAATAAATACGTTAGTATGTGGAAAGTTGTCCTTAATAGAGTGTGTAAAGGGTTTTGGCACAGAAAAGGTGTGTGATAAACGGCATTCCAAACCCCAGCCTTGAATTAAGTATTTAAGAACATCTTCCAACAGGGAAAAGGGGTGAAGAGAAAAAGAAAGAAACAAAAAGAAAAGAACCAAAGCAGTTGGCAAAGGCACAGATGAATCATGAAACTCTACATGGACTGCCAAACTCAAAAAACACTTTTAGGTACAATTTACTAAACCAACCAAGTAAGAGGTGCTCGTAAATTAGGGATGTATACAGATGTTGGTGGACTCCAGAATTAACCCTAAGCCTATTAAAACTTTAAACACTCAATGTGCTTGACTGTCAGCAAAGGCTTTAAATTGTGTTGCAATTTGCAGATCACCAGGGATTCAAACTTTCCCAACTGAACACCTTTAGACCGAGAGCTCAAGGACTGCAGCCCGCTACGCTTTAGCAAGATGCAAACATCAAAAATGTGGAATGTACCTACAAACAAATCATGTCATGGAAAGGTCCAGCAGAGCTGGGCTGGAACCATAACATTTCACAGATTTGAGATTGATATTCCTCTATGAACATTTTGGATGTGGCATCTGCTGAGATTTCCAGTGCATCATGAGGTACCTCAGCAGGGCACTGACTGGGAACCAGCCCTCTCTCCTGCTCTGTGTATGGAAAAGATTTAAATTTCCAGGAAAAAAAATATTTATTCTGCCCTGACACTGTGCTCAAGAGACCCAATCTTGTGCTGAAACCACTTCTGCTCTTATGACAGCTCCAGTTTTACCTGAGGTATCTCCCTGTAGAGAGAGTCTCTGATGAGGATGAAATTATTAGAGGAGTAACTTAAAAAACACAGTATTTTATGATGTAAAAGTCATGCTTACAGAATTAAAAGAATGCTCTATCATCTATTCCACTGAGCAAAATTCCAGCCTTAAAATTCGGGACCATTTCAGAAAAGAAGGAGGTCCACAACAGCCCAGATCTGTGGTTTCTAGTGGGCACAAGCAGAGAGACTGAGTGCTGATTTACACCAGTTGAGCCACTGGCCTTTGGATGTTGGCAATTCTGCCAAGGCTGGCTCTGTCCTAAATCAAAAAAAAAAAAAAATAAAAAGAGAATTAATGCAAATACAGTATTACCTTTTTCTAACAAAATCCACCCATTCTCTTGGGAAATGGCGAAGCAGTAATCCTCCTCCCTTGCTGATCTTAGCTTTCAAACATGGGGTTGGGTTTTTTTTGCCATCTGAACTTATTAAAACCCTTTATACACTTATAAATTCTTCTGTGGTACATGATATGTTCAAAGCCAAAATAATAAAAGAATGAGAGTGTTTCTGCCCAGAGATCCTTAAATATTGAATGCAAATTTCCTGATAAAAATCCTGAAGAATCACAACATAGTCTAGTGTACTATAAATTATGCTAAATCAAATAAATCAGACTATATCATCCCTAGTGGCTCCTACACAGTCTTTAAATATATTACCCACTCCTCATCAGTCCGTTCCACTCAATAACCAGCTCTGTCTTCGGTCCCCAGGCCCACTTTAATTTGAACAATATATTAGCCTTTGCAGTATAAAGGAGAAAGAAACTTTAGGAAAAAGGTAGGCTGGCTTACAAATGAATCTCCCATGGCAGCTCACTCGAACGTGTACGATGGATGGCTATTCTGAGTGGTCTGCATCCCAAATGCAGCCAGGGCAATAAATCCTTCCCCGTCCAGCGGCTGGGAGCAGGAGCAGTCTCTGCAAACCCTCACCCGCCTTGTCCCTCCCAAATATAAAGGCTTGCAGCCTCTCTGGCTCCGTTCAGAGGGCATATTTCACGGCAGAGTGGGGAAGATCAAAACCAGAAGCTCAGTCTCAAGGGAGAGGGGTCTCACTTGGTGGGTCTCCCAGTGTTTGGTGGCCATGGCTATCCTCGCACAGGAGATGGCCTTGGCTGGGTAGAGCCAGAGCCTGCATCTGCCATCCTCCCAGGTGACACTCAGGCTCAGGGCCACCCCAGGGCATGCGGCAGAGAAGATGGACCTGAGCATCACCTCCCATAAGCTGCCCCTGGGAGGCTGGAAGACAGGCAACTAAAAGCAGCGGGCCAAAAACCTGCACATCCCTGAGGTGTCTTAAGAGCAGGGAGACTAAAATGCCTGGCCCCTTCTAAGGGTACAGGCCAGTGTATAATGTGCCTGAGATACAGGGTCACAAGCAGCTGAAGGCTCATGGTGCCGAGCCAAGGCTTCGCTCGGCCTTCCCCGGAGAAAAGAGCAAACAGCCCTGTGTCTAGCATCATAAAACATCTGGTAGGGCTATCAGGAGGGAGACTGCTGAGGATACAGTTTAACAGAGCTGCTGAGATTTCTTTTTTATTGCATTTATTTTCACGAATCATAATAATAAAAAAAGGAAAAGTTGGAGTGCGCTCAATTGAGTTAATACTTTCGGAATTTTATTAATCAACATCTCAGCATTCATAAAAAAATGACACCTTTTAAAACCAGTGGAGAGGAACATTTCCAAATACTTCCAATCAAAAGAAATTATTTTAAAACTCACATTACATGTATTTTTAAACCAACCCCTCAGGGAGATGGGTGTGAACTCTGAATTATCCCAATTAACTTTAGTGCCAGAGATCAAGGCCAAAAAATGCAAAATCAGCTCTAAGCTTTCTGAATAGGTTGCTGAGGGTGCTACAGTGCCAGTAAAGCAGCGACCATGTGCAGCTGAGTTTTGCCATGCCCTGTGCTGGGTCTGTCCTGCAGCACCTCAAAGAAAAGCTCCAGCACAGTAACACGGGGCATGGCAAAGAATAAAACAGCGCAGCCCATGACAACCCCAGTATTGACTAAATAAAATCTGCCTGGTGAGGAGAAAATGGAAAGCAAATTATTTTAATGCCCATAAAAAGACATTTACTGACCAAGCAAATGCATTCTTTTTGTCTGGGCACATGGTTAGCATTCACTTGAGGGCAGTAATTTCAGTGCCGAATTAAGATGCTGTATTTCATGCCCAGGGCAGGGCTGAGTACCAGCATTTTCACTGTGAGTCTGTGAGTAAGTGAGGGGGCAGCACATTAAAAGTGCAAGCACCCTATGATTCCCTGTGGGTCCTGTCCTCTCTAACTCTAAACACTGGATAGTACACCATGTTCTGTTATTTACCATGGAGATGAAAAAATTAGTAGAAAAATCTAAATTTGGAGCAGCAAAACTGAAGCCCAGAGTCATGAAGGAATTTCTTCCAGGGCGTACACACAGCCAGTGGGACATCCGGGGAAGAAACCAGACTCTTTACCCTTGATAGTTGCATTTAAGAAGCTGTTTACCCCTCTTCTTCCAAAACTTAACTTCTCCTTTCTTTTTTTTCAGTCTCTCTTTCCCTGCTATGTGACTGCTTTGCTCTTTCCCACAGAGTTTTAGTCTCCTCCTTGTCCTGTGCTCTTTTCTTCTTCTGCAATACCTGCTTGGACCCACTCCCCCAGCCAAGGGCACTAGTGGGAGTCCAACCTGTCCTTCTCCAGGAAGAAGCACCATCTCTACCTCTTCTGCTACCTGGAAGGGCAGTGCAAACAAGAAGGTACCAATAAAGAAATGCATGAGAAGGAAAAGATTTGGTGGACCTGCCCCAAGGTGTGAGAGCTGCACCATGCCGCTGAATCAGGCAGGTGAAAGAGGAGCTCTGATCTGTTGGGTAGGAGGGAAGCTGGGTCTGATCATGATCAAGGGAACATTTGGTTGACAAGACATACTTACTCACACTGGAACATGACCTTGCCAAAGAAGCAAAATAGGATGCAGATCCATGTCTCGCAGCAGCCCTCAGTGAGGTCATGCCTCCCAGTGGCACAGCTCTCCCTGCAGGACAGCTGGCTTAGCATGACTGTGCTCTTCTGAGCCACTTCCAGCAGGTCCTACAGAAACCAGACAGCCATTCAGGGCACTGACCCGATTCTTCTTGTGAAATCAAATGGCGAAAGAGAGGAGTTGACAGAGGGGAGTGGTTGTCATCATCCCCATGAGATACAGGAGCTTCTTTCTCACTATGAATGAAAGAATAACATTCATAAACTATTAAGGCTCTTCATTTAAACACATTCAAACCACTACTACTCATGCCACAAAGGTTTATTTAACCAGAAGACAGTGAAGGTCCAGAAATCAACAAACACAGGGTATGAAACTTTTCGATGGCGCCGAGTTGAATTCAGAATAATGCTCTATGAAGGGTAACTTGTGCCATTCACAAAAGCCCATTATGAGCAGAAATGTTCATGTGAGCAAACATTATTGTGCAATGCTCGAGCTTTAACATCACACAAATACCAGTTCAAGAGTCACTCAGCTACCTCGTGCAAAAGGCAAGGTTTTATCACAAGCCCCCATTCTTCAAAACAGGTTTTACTGCTACAGACAAGACTTGGTGGGGTACGGTCTGCAACAGCAGCCAAGTAGCCCATGATCCTTGAAGGGCCAGATTTCTGCTGACCATGTTGAGCCAGGTCTCAAACCCACTTTGCAAACGGAACTTCCAGTTGGAGCGAGTGGGAACCTACTCACTTGGCAACTGGTTCTGTTCAAGTAAGTGTCTGGGAGCAAGGAATTCAATAATTCAAAAAGTTTTTGGATCTTAACCAAATCCCGTTGACTCATCTCTCAAATTATTCAGCAGACTGCAATATTTACAGTACATTGTTTTAAGAAAATTATGCAAACTATATGTCGTTGTCAGATAAATTATTCACAGTGAGTAATATGACCCTGCCATCATTCATAAATATAGCTCCCGACCCAGTTATTTCTCCCGTTGTCTAATCACTGCTTCAGTTAGCTCAGCCTGTCAAGGAGCTCTAGGCTTTAGCAAAAATAATGCAGGCATTTCAGTTGACTTAGCAGTGCCACAGCTCCTCTGCAGTGAGTCTCAGAAAGCTTTACAAAGAGGGTTGGGATTGTTACCTTCATTTTACAGATGAGGCAGCAGAGGCATGGTAAAAGCGGTGTCCTATCCAAAGATGACAAGTGACCAGTGACAGAGCCAGGAGCAGAATCCTAGCTGAAAATGCTCAATCCTGTACTGAAATCAATAAATTTTAAGATGCGTCTGGCAGCTCTGCCCCTTTGCCAAATGCCCGTTGGCATTTTCAGGTGTCTGAGCTGCTGTTAAGCTGTCAGGTTGGGACTAGAGTTCCACAGGAGGATGGTTACAGATCCCAGCACCCACCAGGACTGAAGTTCATGATGTTCTGGCCGTCTCAGAGAGTCCCAGACCTCATTTGAAGACATTCAGATCAGAAATGTGCACAAAGCCAGAATCCAGGAGGAATCGTACATGGAGCTACCCTTCCTGTGGCATGTAACAGAAACCAAGCAGAGAGTTGGCATTTGGAAAAAGAGACCAGATCTATCATCAGTTCTCTTTGGAGTGTTCAATCACTAGACAAGGCTATTGCCAGAAAGAGTAACGCTAACTTTGCAAGGAAAGCCACAGGAAACAGGGCGTTAATGGCTAAAACACAGGCCTCACCAAATTGAGGAAGAAGCAGCGAGGAAGCCAAGAGAGAGTAGATAAAGCTGTGAGTGCATGGTCTTTGCAGAGGGGGAAAAACCCAGCCAAACCTTAAAAAGCTTCATTTATGTACATTATTGAAAGAATGTAACACGGAAAAATGGAATTTTCCCCTCCGAGGGGAGAAATCTTTGGGGAGGTGGTTGATGCCAAATGTTTTTACTGTGCTTGATACAAGGTTTTGGCAGGTACCACTACACTAATGGAATACACATTTATGATAATTTAACAAAGGAGAAGACACCTCTTCTCCGTGGGGATTGGAAGTCCAATGGCTTTGATGATTTGAATGAATGCATTACAGTTTTGATGGTGTAAAATGTGCAAAGGTTTACATAAATAAAGTTTTGTTCAGAAGGAAAATAGCAGGGGCAGAAGCTCTACAAGAGACTGAAAAAAAAAGTGTACTGACCTAAAGCTGAAAAAATAAAAATATACTTTGCGTGTAATAGAAATAACATGCCTAGGAGAAAAATGAACACAGCAAAATGGGCAGAAAGGTACTGGTACTAAGACCATCACCACTCTAGGTACACCAGCAGAGATGAGTACAAAAATGACAGGTATCCCTCAAAATACTGAATAAGAGAAGGAAATTTATTCCTAATTTAGCTACTCAACCTGAGAGCCTGAAAGCCTGTCTGTACATATAACACCATAAGGAGCTGGTCTCATTGAAAGGTCTGAGGTAGTTAATCAGAGGACTGTATTGAAGAAGTTCAGCCCTCAGCTGCTAAGACAGTGAGTAAAAACCTGAGAAGCCCTTGGACTCTTCCATGAGTGGCATTGGTGAGGTCCTCCTAAGAGCACAAGTTTTTATCTCATGGATGCTAATAAAAATGTCAGCTTGTTGCAACAGAGAACAAGGTTTTGACTATGGTATTTGGGTGTCAAAGGTTTCATGTCTTTATCTACTGGAGGCTCATAATAGCTGGAAAGGACATTACACCACCTACTGCCACTGTCAAAAGGAGCATGACAAATTTGCCCTGGGAACAACTGAGATGTTTTGGTATTAAGAAAGAGTATTTGTATATTGAATAAAATCCTAGAAGAGAGATTGTAGTCAGAAACACATAGTCTGAAATGCAACAGTGCAACAGTGCAAAGACCAGAGGTGGGTTGCAGTGGCCTCCAGTGAAGAGAACAGCTTCCTCCTCCTGCACCAGTTACAGTACAGGCCAAGGCAAGAGAGGGATAATCTTCATGTTACAAGGGGGCTGCTCGGTGCCCTATCTGTAGCAAACACGGTGTGTGTCATGCAAGAGTACATGACCACGGGCTGCACTGGTGATCTGGAGTTATAAACAGATTGTGGTGAAGCTGCAGGTCCCCTCTATATCAACATAATGGGTTGGTGAGTGATCCTATCAATGTAATTAAACACCTGTCGGCAAAGGAGGGAGAGAAATAATCACATCTATATTTAGTACTTCTAAATTACAGAGGAACAAGAGGGACATACGGGCTGTCAGCTGCAGACATTTTTTTGAAAAGAAATGAGAAATCTAGAAAGCCAATGCCATTAGAAAGTGAGCTCAAGGGCATCAGGGGCTTGCTGGTGCATGAAGAAATCTTTAAGGAGAACCCAAATATGAAACACAATGGGACATCCTGAAAGCTGCTGCTGTGTACTGGAAGTGATGCTGTAGGTACCCGTCCATACAGGAGACCAGAGATGGTTCTGCAAGTGTGTGAAATAACCATCCTAACCAGACATAACTGCAAGCACCTTGTCCAGACCTTAGGCATGAGGAAGACGGCATTGTTGACCAGAAAGGGTACATCCAACAGCCTGAGCTCCCCACAACACAGACCAGACAGAACTAAATGGTTTTGCTTCTACCTGGTGCCCATGTGGCCACTCTCTGAAAATAGGAATAGTCAGAATCTCAGCAGTAAATTGGATTATTTAACTTTGATTAACAAGCAAATTGCAAATTTTTCATATCCTCATATCGTTTCTAATCTCAATGCTGTTTGCTAAATGAAGTTTAGCTGGGAAAGGACAAGGTAGGGAACTTAGCCTTTACAAGTCTCTGGTATGACCTGGTTGGACTGACCATTGTGTTACACAACAGCAGGCATTTAAAAGCCAGGGACTAAAAGAAATCAGCTCTTTCAAATGTCAGGGCCTCAAGGGCTTTTTGACCAACACAGAAATACCAGCTAAATTATAGGAGACCTTTGTTATTGCACAGTCAGTGAACATACTTCTAGGGTCTACTTGCTTCTCTCTGCTCTCCCTAAGGGGAAGGCTGCAATACATTTAAGAGAGAGATGTCCTTTGAGAAAAGATGATGCCCAGAGACAGCACAGCTATTTCTTCATGCAGATATTCCACCAAATACACAGGTCCCTAAACATTAAAGGACCATATCTCCACATCCAGCCTTTTCCAGTCAGAGGAAGACTCCAGCTCCTTTATGGGAAGCAATCACTGAAAATCTATTTTACTGGCTACTATAAAAAAATACTCTCTCTAGCGTAAGTCTTCTTTGACAGGACAGCTGATATTTCCATCACTGAAACATCATCTGAGGTTTCAACATAGTTGAGGTTTCTATCACTGAAAGATGTGCCCCTGAATTTGCAGTTTCCTACAGACATTTGTAGAGTCAAAAGGCTCCCACATAAGAGTTTGGGATAACTCCCTATCACACAAGACATATGAAAGTCTGTTTCCTACAGATGCCACGGCTCTTGCAGCACACACACACACACAGAGAAATGAAGCAGCTCCTTCAGTCACAACTGTCTGGTTTTCTTTGCACAAACAGCAAAGTATGACAGTAAAAGGAGTCCTGGAGGGTTATGCTGGTTTCACATGGGTGATCTGAAACCACGGATGAGCCTTCTTGGCCAAAATAGTAAAAAAGTTTGTTTCCTCTTTGCAGTGACTTAGAGGGAAATTTGTAAGATGAGAGCAACCGAAGCTGTGTCAGATAGGAGTGCTGTGCTGAGAAAGGGGTCGTGTGTTTCCATCCCTGTGGAGTCATGAGTGGGCACAGATGTGAAGCCATCCCTTTCCCTTCCTCTCCATATCCCTTCTTCCCTGATCAGCCCCTCCTTGAGAAAGCAAGAAGATAATTTGCAGAAAGAAAGATGCATTTCCCACTCCCACCCCCCTCGTTTGGATATAATAGCTCATTTCTCTTTTATCCTTTGAAATAAGGATATGTTCCATGGAGTCCATGGAGACTCAGAACCAGAAAATACCACCCCATGATGAGGACTGATGGTTTACATCTTGTGCGTGCCCATCTCTGCCAGGCTGTAGCCTACACTGATGCTTCATGTGCCGGTAAAGGCAGCAGGATGTCTCTCCGCAAGTGGATAGCAGCTTTATTCTTCTAAGAGATGCCATTTAAAGCAATGTTAAAGACAACTTTCTGGTAGCTAGTTTGTGTGTGTATAAAAAATATAACAAACCAAATAAAATTCTTGGTGTCCAGCACAAAGTTACTGGATCTCAGA